CCCTGGACTGCAAGGAGAACAAACCTATCCATTCGGAAGGAAATCAACCCTGAGTGCTCACTGGAAGGACAGATCCTGAAGCTGAGGCTCCAATACTTTGGCCATCTCATGAGAAGAGAAGAATCCTTGGAAAAGACCTTGATGTTAGGAAAGTGTGAAGGCAAGAGGAGGACAGAGGATGAGATGGTTGGACAGTGTCATCGAAGCAACCAACATGAATTTGACACAACTCCGGGAGGCAGTGAAAGATAGGAGGGCCTGGCTTGCTCTGGTCCATGGGGTCACGAAGAGTCGGACACGACTGAGCAACTAAACAACGATGAACCTTGTAATTATCCTCCTTCTTCCTCCATGGTGTAGAACTCTGATCTTGGAGGAAATCATTGAACCCAATCCAGTGTCTTCCCTTTCTTTTCCATGTTGTGCATTAATTTAACAACTGTTGTGGCATATGCAACAAATGCCAGTTTTTCAATCAAAGTCCATATCTGTCCCTTAGAGAGACAGACATCCATTTCCAATGCACTATTTTCCCATCCTGAGTGGGAAGGGCGTGCAAACCTGACTCTGGAGTCCCTTCAGCATTAAGCATACATGAGAGGCTGGGACTGGGAATGTGCTTGCACAAAAATAGTAGGATGATTTAATCACTCCTGTTCATGTGAAAAAAAAGAAGAGATGCTTATTTGTTTTCTCTGGTCAGAAATTGGAATTGTGGGGTATACTTGATTGTGAAAACTCAGGGCTCATTTTCCCAGAACAGCAGTAAAAAGTGCTACTATGTGTGTTTACATCAGGATCCTTTTGTAAGAGGATTTATTTACCATCAACAAAGCTCAATGTTCATTCTTTCTGTATACTTCGGAGCGAAATGGCTGCTGCACAGAAGGTTAGTGACATGAAACAAATGATAGGGTATCTACGATCAGACTATCATTCTTTAGCTAGGTGTCACTGTGAGATAAGATACCATGCTCAGCTTTGAGTGGCAGGTCTACAAAAGACTGCCATTTCTGAGAGAACAAGGCAAAATGAGTTATTTTAAAATCCAATGTATGGAATTCACTGAACCAGTTAAAAAGGAAAAAGGAAAGATTTTTTGATCCTTGTTATATTGTAGATATGAGTTCCTTTTTAATAAAATAAAATAAAATAAAATAAAACTGTTGATATGTTATGAATGACCCAGAGTAGCTTTGGTTAGATGGGTGGTATACAAATGAAACCAACCCAACCC